CCAGGGAGCGAGGGTCCTGTAGAGATCGTGACAGGGATGGTCTGGGGGAGGGGGCACAGGGCAGTCTCCCTGGGGAGGCCGGAAAATGAGGATGGCCCTGAGGAAGGGGACACGGTGTAGACTGTGAGGACAGGGAATTGCCAGGATGAGGGCTGGACCAAAGGACCCATGGAATTGGGGTGGGGGGCCTTCCTCTAAGGGACAAAGGGGCTCTTGAGGAGGAACGGCCTCCTTAAGGAGAAGGCTGAAGCTTTTAGGGCAGGAGCTGAGGCGAGGCTCGGGAGGCTGTGGGAAGCGACGAGCCTGTGGCCAGGCCAAGCCCAGGTCAACATGGTCCCCACGAGGGTAGGAAGCACGGTGGCGGCTGGCCAGGGCGGGCAGGCGTGCTTTCCTGCCGTGGCCCGACTCCCCTGTGCTAGCATGTTCCCTGGGGGCTTCTGGGTGACCGTGAAAACATCCCACCAGAAACCATCAGGAATGCCCCCTCCAGCCTTCCAGAACAAAGGAACTGGTTCACCTTTGGGGGTGAGTGAAATGAGCAGAACGCAGTGAACAAGCAGCAAGGAGCAGAGCACGATGTCTGATTGAGAAGGAGGATGTTTTATTGAGAAGGATTTGGGCGGAGGGAGAAGGAGGTGTCGGAGTGGGAAGGGTCGACCCCCTTAGGGGTCCCGTGACAGCAGGTCCCTGAGGGTGTGGGCGACTCGGGGACCTAAGGACACTCTGAGGGGGACAGTTTCTTCTCCACGGTTTTCCCTTGGTGCTTGACCTGGCAGCTGACGCTGCTGTACGATTTCCACTCTGTGGAGGTCCGTGTCAGGTAGCTGCTGGCCGCGTACTTGCCGTTGCTCTGTTTCGAGGGCCTGGTGGTCTGGACGCGGTCGTTGGTGACAGCGTCATTTACTTTCCAGATCACCTCCAAGCCGCTGGGGGAGAAGTCACTGATGAGACACACCACTGTGGCCTTGTTGGCGCTGAGCTCCTCAGAGGAGGGCGGGAAGAGAGAGACCGAGGGTGCAGACGTGGGACCACCTGCAGGATGGGAGAGGGGCAGGAGGTCAGAGGTCTGGGGTCCATGACGGGAGGTCCTGACCTCAGCCACGATGTGGGCTACCGGTCCCTGAAGGCCAGGGTCTGGGCCTCAGGCTGGCCCTTGTTCCCTGAGGTCAGGTCGGTGATGGGTGGGGCCACTCACCTCCTGTTGGGAGAAACTCAGGGCCTGAGTCTAGGCCGTTCTGGGCTCCTCTCAGGGCGCCACGTCTCCCTCAGGTTCACATGCCTTCTAAGCCACCATCCCACCCTCTGCTCCCTTGGCGCTGGCTGCCATCAGCCTTGAGGTGTCCTGTTTCCTTTGGCAATCTTTCTGTCCTGTGCATCTGTCTGTGTGAGGTCTGCTCCCAGGGCCCCGTCCCCAGTGTCCTCCTACAGGATGTCTGTGTGTCCTGGGTTGCGGCTCTCCTTCCTTTCACGGAGGGGATTCTTGCCCAGAGTCCCCGTGAGAGCATCGTTGCAGCCGCCACCCTCTCCCCACAGAGAGCGGCCTAGGGCTGCGGGGCGTGGAGGGGGTGTCGGCCCCGGGGCTGGATTGCAGGGCCCCCAGGAGATGCGGGGTTTC